CAACTTTGAGGGATTAGACAATCTCGTGAAGAGGCAGACAGCCTCAAAGAGTTGGAGGGCTATTGAAGGATACCTGCTATAGAAGGCAATTCTATCAGCACAAAAAAGAAAAAATATGTTTTAAACCATGTGCGGTGGTGCATGCCTGTAATCCCAGCCCTCAGAAGGCTAAGGCAGGGGGATCTTGAGTTCAAGGCCAACCTGGGCTACATAGTGAGACAACGTGTATCAAAAAAAAAAAGGGCAAAAATGTTTAAGAGTGCAAATAAATAGATTAAAATCCAATGATATATAAGGGATTTTTTTTTTGGTTTTTGTGGGGTGTGGGAATGTGAATCAGGAGTCACATAGATCCTGAATGCTCAACCATTCTGTCTGGCTCTCAAGGGGCAGATGAGAGCTACAGCTTTTTTGAGACAGGGTCTTGCTCTATAGCCCAGGCTGGCCTTAACTTCCAAGTGCTGGGATTCCGGGTGGATGCCACCATGAGATCCAAGTATTTTTAAGGACAATAATTGAGAGTTAAGGGCAGAGAAAAATTAAGCAGAAAAAGGACAAACATCATATTCCATTTATACGTGGTGCCAAGAATAGGCATCTCCATAGAGACAGAAAGTAGAATAGTGGGTTCCAAAGACAGGGAAGAGTGGGAAATGAGTGTTGAAATGGGTACAAAGTTTCTGTTTGGAATGATGAGAATGTTTTGGAGATAGGTGGGGGTGATTGTTACAAAACATTGTGGACGTTCACAGTGCCACTCAATTACATAATTTCACAAAGTGGGAGGTTGAGGTAGGAGGATTGCAAGTTCAAGGCCAGGCAGGGCTATACTGTGAGCCCCTGTCTCAAAAAAAAAAAGTAAGTAGAAAGATTATAATGTAATTTTTATGTCATATATATATATATATATATATATATATACTTCATTAAAAAGATAAATGAGATACAATGAATTGTAATTATATACAGAATTTTGTGAAATGTATAGCTAGCTCAGAATTGAGAGGCCTAAATTAAGATATTTAAAATACCAACAGAAAACAAATTTTAAAAGTTAAAAGGCATGATTTTTTGTAGTAAAAGTGAATTTTATTAGGAAAGGAATTTAGTGTAATAGGATTAAAATGGGGAAAAGAGAGAAACATTTCCTGCTCATTATGCAGGAAATGGGAATATAGACTCCAAAAAGGTATGATTTTTTTTAAATAAAAGAATTTTAAAGATATATTATAAAAACCAAGAACTTATAGATTAAGGTAGTAGGTATAAAATAAACTTTTTAAAAAGAGGAGAAAAGTTCTAGATCAGGAAGCCAAAAAGACCATAAATTAAGCAAAAGCAATTCAAAAAGACAAAATACATGCTATCAACAGCAAAACTGGCTAAATCACCTAAAAGGAAAACAAGGTGAAAATTTGAAAATGAGAAAGAGAGGGTAGCAGGAAGGAAAGGGAAAAGGAAAAAACAAAACAAGTGTGTTGTATGACTGAGTGACTTTACCAGAGTGCACAGTGTACTGTGGGGCAGGATACCCACCACCAAGTCATGTGCTCCCGCTTAGCATTTGTTCTGGCTCTCACCAAGTGGGCATTGGCTGCAGCTTTAGCTTTCCCTGCACTCTGGAGTCTCTCATATCCAACTAGGGTTAAAGTTCAGAGGTACACAGGTTACCCAACATGGTCATGCAGCTCTGGGCCACCTCTTCATGCTTTCAAGGCAAAACCACTCACGTCTGTCCTGGTTGGGTAAAGGGGCTCCCATGTTGTACACAATGGACCCCATTCACTTCTTAGAATACCCATCCCACAGTGTATAAGTTCCACTGGCGCCAATCTGCCTGCCAAGCCTAGCTATCCCAAACCTGAGGCTTCTGTTAGAGTCAGCACTCCATCTCAACACCCCACCAGGATGTTGTGCCCTCCTGACTTCTGGTGCCCAATGGGTGCTTCTCTACATTTGGCAACTACTTGTGGCAGTATGTCCATCCTTCTGTCTCCTCTGCTCTCATTCGTTCACATCCTGCTGAGTTAAGATTGCCCCAGAAGGGAGGCACTGGGTATCAAGATGGAGGTTCTGCCTTCTCTTCCCAATGGTCCTTAAATGGGAGCTTTAGGCAGATTGCCTGCAGATGTCTCACCTCACCATTTTTTCCAGTCAGCAAGGCCAGTTTTAAAATCAGTCTGCCACCTGGTCACAATTCTGTATTTCCTTCATTGTTGTTCCTAAAGTAGACTTGTTAGAACAGCACCCATATTAGCAAACTTTAAATTAGGTTCACCCCTATTTACGATCTGAACACTCACATTAATTTTGTTCAGAAGGTAACCAACTGGCCTGTAATGGATGCAAAAGTATCTTGTAAACACCCCTCTACTGATTCCCCCATTTTAAATTTACTGCTGCTACTTTAGCTTGTTTTCTTTTTCCTGGATTTAATCATTTTTCCTATTGTAAAAATAAATTAATAATTGTCAAAAGTGGAAATAACCAATGTCTATCAACAGATAAATGGACAAATAAAATGTGTATTCATATAGTAAGTAGAATAATAGCCTTTAAAAATGAAGGAAATTCTGATACATTCTACAACACAGATGAATCTCAAAAACATTGTGAAAGAAGCCTGAAAGAAAAGAACAAATATTGTATGGTTCCACTTAAGTGACACACACAGATCGCAAATTCAGAGACAGAAAACCAGAACAGAGGTTCCAGGGGCTGAGAGTCGAGAAACTGGGAGTTACTAGGAACAGTTTCTGTTTCAGGTGACAAAAAATAGACAGTGATGATACTTACACAGCATTGCAAATGTAATTAACGCCATGTAACTGTACACTTTAAAGTGGTTAATTGTATGCATATTTTACCACCATAAAAAAATGAGAAGGAGGAAGGCAGTCAGGTGCTGACAGGTTGAAAGAGCTTGGGCTGGCACAACTTTTCCTGCATGTACCCGCATCTTCAAATGAGCACAAGTGTGTGCCCAGGTGGATACATGTGATTGGGAAGCAAAACAAAAAAGAAAAACGAATTAACTCTAGTTGAATTAACCAGTACACTGTTACATAAAAGGACATCTTAATGTCTTTAAATTTTTACCACATTCAAAACAAGATCTTGCCCTTCAAATTGAACAAATTACTTATTAGCTGAAAAAAAAGGGAAGGAAAGTTTGGAATCATCACAGATTTTTCTCATTGCTGGTTCTAAGTCACTGATTCTAAAGTTATCTTGTACATGCCCTCCTCCTTCCTCCTTTCTGGAAAACCATCTCCCATGCTACACTTGTACAAAGGATCCTGTACGAATCATAAATATGCATTTTGCCATTCCCTGGAACCCTCGCAACTCATGGGTCAGTATGACGTACTGCTCAGTTCAGACAAAAGCAATCTCTGCCTCCCCTGTCTGTCCTTCCTTGTCCCCCTCCCACAGGCGGCTAGAAAATGCCAGGTGGGAGGGGCATGTCATGGGGCTTCTCAGACCCCATGTAACTTATTCTCAGCATATTTCATGCTAAACTCCTATCTCAGCCCAGTGCCGTCCCTTACTGTTGTAAACTCTTGGGGGTGATTCTACCCTCCATTATCACCTCATGCATTTGATTAGAGTACCTAGGAGCTGGCTTGAGTGCTTGACAGAGCATCTGTCAATCACCCCAGCCCAGCCTATAGGGAACCACCCAGTTCCCTCCCCACCAGTTTGTTGGTGAAGGGAAAGCACACTCTCTGCTCCCTTTTCCTTGCTTCCATCCCATCTGGATCATCTGGCCAGATGGCACCACCATTGCTTTTGCAATGCTTTCCCTTTCCCTTTAATAAGCTCTATTGCCTCCCTTCCTTCATCTACTTGTCTTGCTTGGATGTCTCCATGCTGGACACAAAGAATTTGGAAATCTTCTGATCAGAGACCATGTGACCCTACACCCCCTACACACCCACACAGATGGCAATATCTCCGACCTTCCATATCTTCTTTATGAGTTTTAGGTGTATCTGAACTCTTCTTTCGTTTTCAAATTACTTTGAGAAGAAATTTGCAGAATGTAAAATTAACCATTTTCAAGTTTAAAGTTTGTGGCATTTGATACATTCACAAGGTTGTGCTACCACCACCTCTGTCAAGTTCCAAAGCATTTTTATCACTATGAAAATGTCAAGGATTAGAGGGATACATGGTAAGGCCTGAGGCACCAAGTAAAACGTGGGATCCCAGGACATTTATGGACAAAGGCTAGGACCAGGCTGAGTTCCAAGGGTGGCAGATCTGGGACCTTTATCGATGTCAGGACCTCTTTTGGACACAGTAACCCTCCATGTCTGGCCTATCTGCAGTCATGCTGGCCAGCTCCATGAGGGTTCAGTACATCAGGGTCTTCTTGTGAAAATATCCCTACTCCATCTACACCCACATTCTTAATCCTCTCCAGAGACAGATTAGAGTGGATTGAGTGCATCACTGCCCCAATTCTCAGAAGACCACATTCTACCTTTCTTCTGTGACTGCAGCTCTTTTACTATACCCGCAGCTTCTCTCCCCCTGAGTCTGGGATATTTCCATCTGCAGAGACTTGGAAAAGTTTTTGCTTCTTTCTACTTTTGCATTGGCTATTCTGCAAAGACTTTGAACCCTGCCTGAACTGTCCTGCTGGAACAGGATGAACATGTAGTGCCCAGTGGCCTTGGCACTACAGTTAAGCCAGAACGTTTGCTCAGGTGTCCTGAGACACAGAGAGCTGCCGAACAGAGCCCAGTAGGAACCACTGGCCTACAGACTCACACGCTAGGCAAAGGTTTATTATTGTTTTGTGTTTTTATTATGCAACATTACCCTGGTGTTAAACAGGTGTGAATTGAGAAGAGCACCAATTGCTTACACCCCACCATCAAACTGGACTCAGATGTGCATGAACAGTGAAATGAAATGTTTTGTAACATGGAAATATCAGGGTTTGCTTGTTACTACAACAGAAGCAATCGTTTTGATACACAGTAAAGAGATCACAGGCCTCCTTCCTGAGCAGAAGTGAGGTGGTACGTGAAGTGAATTAGAGGAGTGTCCCTTAGTTTAGAGATCCTGGTGAAGAAGGACTGGCCTGTCTTCTGAAAGCCCATCTGCTGGTAGAGAGCCAGGGCAGCACACTGCAGCATACTCGTGCTAAGGACAACTTCACTGTAGCCCTGGTCCCGGGCAAACTGGAGGACAGTCCTCACCAGGGCTTTTGCTATCCCCTCTCCTCGGTGCTCCAAGGCCACACAGAGGTGCCGTAGCTGCAACTGCTTCTTCTGCAAGAGGGGCTTCTTCACTGGCAGAGCACCCACTATGCCCACCACTTGCCCCCCACGCTCAACCACCCAGAAGCAGGAGGCACACCCACTCAGGTAGGTCTTGGTGATGTCAGCCAGGTCTGTGCGCAGACATGCAGCCATATGCTTCTTCCAGGTGTATTTAGCAAGGAGCCACAGGAAGGCAAAGAGGGTGAGGCTGGACATTAGAACAAGGAGCCAGGAGCCATACACCAGGAGTAGAGCAAGAGGCACCACAAGTAAGAGCAGGAGGGTTCCAGGCAACATCAACATATGGTGGAATGTGGCAGGAATGTGCTCTTCCATGCCTCTGCAGAACAAACCCAGGACCCATTTGCGGTCACTGTCCTGGTATTTGCGGATATGGTAAGGAGCCATGAGGAGACTTCTGCGTCTGAAATTTCAATGTCCATGAGCTGAGGCAACACCTGCCTCCACACCTTCCTTTGACACTGTAGAAGAGAAGAAGCCATGTGAATTCCCCCCCACAGCTCCCAGCCTTCCAGGAGCCTTGGAGACCCTGCTCAAGAGTGTATATTTCTGCTGTCACCCAAGAGGAAGCCTGAAGATGTAGAGTCAAAAACACCTGATTGAAACCCTGATGTCTTCCCTTTTTAGCTGTGTGGAGTTGGGTATGTCACTTAACCTCTCTGAGCCTCTGTGTCTTCACCTGCAGAACAGGGTAAAATAATACCTGCCTTCTAGTTTTGTTTTGAGGATTTGATATAACAACTTATATGAAGTACTGATATATATATATATATATATTCCCACCACTCTCCTTACCCTTCCTGGTATATTGAGATGGTGCCCTGTGGTTGCCAGACCTCATGTCTCAACCTTTTTTTTCCCTATCCAGGCTCCACACATTGAAGGATGCCTTGTTTCCAAGCTCAAGTTTAAGCAAAGACTCCTTCCCCTTGATTATAAATGTTTAAGACTCCTGAAACAACAAAAAAGTCAAGCACAAAAAAGGGCCCAGCCTGGAATTCCACAGGAAGGTCCCTGGGTACCAGGCCCACACTGAGCCCCCTAACGTACCCATGTTCACTCACCTGCTGTCACAGAGCCAAGAGTGTCTAGTGAAGCCTCCACATATTCCGCTGACTGATATCCAACAGAGATGGTGAGGGACCCGCCCCGCTTTGGGGGAGCAGATCTGCATACCCTCCTCATTGGCTGGCTCTTGAATGTTTAATAATTATAAACCCCAGGGTCAAGAACCTGTAACAGAGCAGGGAGTCTAAGTCCATTCGCCTTTGTGATCCCCACAGAATTAATCTGAAGAGGTGCAGGTTCCGGGAAGACTCAGCGGTACTTAGCCTCATGGGAGGCCTGCCACACCTCTTCCCATCAAGTTACAATGTCTCTCACCTAATTCACTCATCCTACTCTGAGGCCCACCCTAGTCCTTCACAGTTGGACTTTTCCTTGCTCAACGTCAACCTGGCTCTAGAAAAATGGATTCTGGTGGTTCCCCACACTGCCCTCACCCCCTCCATCAGGCCCTGACTCATCAATGGTGTTGATGCACCTGCAGAGCTGCAAGTGTTCTTTATAGTCCCTAGCAAAGCTGATGTCCAGCTTGCAGGCCCAGGACAGTGACCTGCTACCATGAGCACTGGTGGCCAACCAGAAACAGCGCCATCACACTTGTCAACATGTTAGCTGAGGATGCACCTGACTAACACAGTCAGAAGCAGCACAGAAGGGCAATTCCTTCTCCTTGAACTCTCCTCTACAGAAGGATCACTTCCTTGCCCCATAACAACTCAGCCTCTGCCCTCAAGATATACCCTGGAAGAGCAGGTAAGGACCTGCTTTCCCCTCTCATGATTCCTAAAGCAAGAGGACATGGAAGCCAGCATTTGCTTGTAGTAGTTAGCTCATGCTTATTGTGGCCAGGAACCCAGTAGGCACTGGGGATGAAAGAGAGATATAGCCAATGTGGGTCTTACATGGAAGGAGCTTCTTGGGAGCTTGGAGTCTGGGAGACAGATGGACACCATTGCAACTGTGACAAGGGTCAGCAAGGGGAAGATCCAGGGCTGCCAGAAGAAAGGGCAATGAAGCTTCCCCAGGAGGACTCCTAATCCAATCCCCAAGGAGAGGCACCCTACACAAGCAGTGAAGGTAGCTTCTCAGGCCAAGGGAAGGGAAATACAGAAAACCCCAAAACATGATAATTGCACAGCTTTTGAGAGAAGAATGGCCTATATAATCACCAAGGGAAGGAATGAGTTAAGATGACAGGGACCTGGCTATGCAGGCCCAGAGTCCTTATTAGATAGCATGGACCATATTCCATTAGTACAGGAGACCACAGATATGCTTTTTTCTGAGGATCAAGATAACCAGTGTGTGGGTGTACAACACTCTGACAGCACATAATGGAACTGAGGAGACAGAAATCTCCCAAAGGCAAGTGCTGAAACAGGTGAGAAAATGGTTCCAAGGTACAGATGTGCAGGCTGCTCACTACAAGAGAATCTATCACAAGAGGGCTAGGGAGTTCAAATGGAGACTACACTGCTTGCTAAGGCAAGGGTGGTAGGCTGAGATGTAAGTCTGGTCAAGGGAAAAGACACCAATTACTGATTTGCTCAATGACATTGGTTGTCACTACCTGTATCCCATAGTCTGCATGGGTTGAAAGTGGATCTTTGTCTGGGTTCACAAAGTGCCATCTGGAGTAGCAGAGGCCCAAGAGATAGGGTGGTGACTTGGACCAGAGCAAGGTAACCAAGACTGTGAGATCTGGACCACTTGGAGGTGCATTTGGGCACAGAAATGTCAAGGTTTAGAATGATTCAAATGTGGATGAACCCATGGAAAGGGTCAGAGATGATTGCCAGAAGTGTGGCAAGAGCATCTAGGAGGCAGCTGGGTAGTGGCAGATTTGGAAAGATCACGATGTGTCTGTACGTGCTGTCTGCAGCTTTTCATAGAAAACCAGAAGCTGTGAGCAGGCAGTTGGAATCCAGAACCCTGAGGCTGCTGGACTTTGGGATTTTCGATATCCAACCAGATTAGAAGGTTAATGTTTAGCATCAATTTTGCATGATGAATCATGCACATTTATTACGTTGTCCTCAGGACATTTTATTATTGGCAGAAACCAAGATGAAGGACAAGAGGCTTGGATGCTATCCCTGTCTTTCCCCGTCCTGTACAAGTGGTATAAACCTTAGTTTGCAATTAGGCTTTTCACCCTTCCCAGGGATTAGTATAGCATCTGCAACTTTTAGGCTCTCTTGGATTTTCTCTTTCAAAACTGGTTCATTTCTTCATTTAGCACAGAACAGCTGAGTCCTTGTAATGAGCCAGGTCCTGTGCACTTGGCATAAGGAACAGGAGATGTTGGAGACATTGCTGCCGCAGCCAGCAGGATACACAAGGTGGAGCTGAGGGAACAGCGGGGCATGGTGGAGACATACAAACCTAAAATCATGGTGGTAGGCTGAACTTGAAACTTAGGGCTTTTATGTTGCAAAAATGGAAAAGCCACCTACAATTGGCTTAAGGAATAAAGACGATGGATTGGCTTCTGGAACTGCCAAGTTGTAAATAGGGAAAGGGTGACCTGAAGGTGGGTTTGTGCTCAGTGTCGCTTTCCTTCCACCCCTGTCTTCATCAGATGTAGGATTCTTCTCAGCCATGATTGAAGCTGTAGACTTGTGCTCCATCAGCTAAATGTGAGGGAATATGCCCAAGCATTCCCCAGTGTCAGCAGATGTTAAACTGGTCAGTGTCCAAGTTCTCTCATATTTTCTGAAGACTAGCTATTATGTTTCACAGTAGGTTCTGGTCAGTCTGGGCTTATTTGAATAGGGGTCCAGTCCTAAGAATACCAGCACCCTAATAGAGATTGAGGACTAATGCGATCTCAGAAAGCTGGAACTGCAATAGACATGGAGGACACAATTAGTTCAAGAATACTGACCACTCATAGGAAGCGAGGTGTTCTGTGAGCCAAGTGTACATGCAGTCCAGTATAGATGGCATATCACTGTTAGCCCAAGAACACCAGCACCGTAATAGAGATGGGGAACCATCAAGAACCCAAGACAGCTACATCTGAATCAATTTGTAGGACCATTGGTGATCCAAGGTTGCTGGCACACTGAAAGAGAGGGCAATCCACTATTAACCCAAGGACATAAGCACCTCAATAGAGAAGAGGGACTGTTGAGATCCCCAAGGATACCTACATGGAGGTACAGATGGAAGACCACCATGATGCAAAGCTACTGGGCACCCGAAGAGAAATGAAGGAACACTGTGAGCCAAAGGATACAAGTACCCCGATATAGATGGAGGACCAGTGTGAACTCAGAAGTTTTAAGGGTGAGTCATGTATGGGCACTAACTGCATTGGGGGGGTGCTCTGAAGTCTAGAGGGTTTCAACAATGGGGATGTAAACTATACACAAGTGACTTTGAAAAGATGGTAAGGCCCCAGAGTGTAAATATTCTGACCCTCTTCCCTACCTCCCATCTTCTCAGTTGAGCTTATTATGGGACTTGGCAAGCAGAAGGAATGGATTGTTGTTGTGATGGACAATGGGGAAAGAATCAGGAGGAAACTAGAGAGCACATTCTAATTTTAGGACTTCTGAAATCTAAGTGAATATCTCATTGATTTCTGAGATAATTTGTGTAACTCCTATTGGTTTCCAGAATAATATATATATATATATATATATATATATTCCAAGTTAGTATGAGCCAATTTGAACTTCAACATCCACAAAGTTATCTTATCTTTCTGGGAACCACAACTACTCTGACAGGGCTTGGAGCAGGTGGCCACAGTCACCCCTGTTCCTCCCTCCAGCCCCAACCACTCACCCAGTCCATGACTGTTAACACCTTTTTCTTAGGTCCTTTCCCCACTTTTGTCATATTACAGCCCAAAGCAAAGCTGAAACTATGACAGCAATGTCCATAGTAAGATGCTATGTGACATAGAAACCTGTGAGAACCATTTTTTAATGCTAGTAAAATAACATAAATAGGATTATTCTCTAAGAGTAATAAGTTTAATGTGGAATAATAGAGCATTTGGAATGAGTGTGCCATAGTAAACTATGTGTACATTCAAATGGTTAAGGAAAAGTGTAGGTTTCAAGTTGAAATATGTAAGATTTTTTGAAATAACAAGTCTTGGTCACAAGAATTAGAATCCAGGGGTGTCAGGGGTCACTAACTAGAATGGTACCACTCCCAGATTAAACTAATAGTCACTGGACAGAGGTATTCATTGTAGAAGGTTATGGTGGCCTTTGTGCAAGGTTTGGCTCTAGCAGGACCTTTGGTGAGTATTTCTTACTATTTGCCACACATTCATGAGATTTCTTCTTCATAATCAATCTGTTTTCTTTATTAATTTATCTT